AAGTAAGGAGAGTTTACCATTTAGCCTTGGAATGTCTGTGCCTCAAAGCTAAGGGTTATTTAAATCAGATTTTGAGTGATTCAGATTCCTCCTCCAGAAAATGTGAGGAATCCATCTAGAAACAAACTTTAATTCCATGTATTAGCAGAGTCAAGTAATGATGACCTTGGATACGCTCTAAACCGATTCGTAACGATTACTGTCAGAGCAGGTCTTTCTCTGTTGGAAGGTAATGGCCTGTGGTACGCTGGAGGCCGGGTTAGATGGTCCTGATGATTCCTTCTGGTCAGAGTCTCTGAAGTTGGAAAAAAATGACTTGGAGTTAAGCGTTTAAAAAGGGGGAGAACAGTAATACATACTGCATAAAACTTGGATATAGTGTAATGGAACATTGAAGTTATCGCAGTTTTATATAAATCATAAAAACTTTCATTCTCCCTATGTACATGTATTGGGTGTGTGTACTACTGAAGTATGTAGCAATTCTAAAATCAGGATTCTACAGTCAGGTTGAATTTAAGTGTTGTTTTTTTTTCCCCCCATATCTGTCTTTGTGCGTCATGGACTTCATCAATATTCATATATGCCAAAATGAAAATAGTTTATTGGTGAGGATCAAGCTAAAATTTTGGGGATCCGGTATGGTTCGGCTGCATGTAACCTCAGAGAAGTCAAATTTTAGTTGTGTGGATTTTTTATGTGTGTGAAGTGCTGTTGCTTGGGCCCTGCCGTGAGCAGGGCACTTCTGTAGCAGCCAGTGCCTCGTTAACCCCAGGCTGGGGAAGAACAGCCAGCCACAAGTGCTGACGCTCAGAGTACCGAGCTTTTGTGGTGTGTCGTGTTCCTGGCTTGGTCCTTGGGTGCTTCTGGTTCCTCAGCTCAGAGAAACTTCCTACTTTAACCAGGTGTAGCAGGGGGTCGGGAGATTTTTTGTTTGTTTTAAGAGAAAAGTGTGTTCGCTTGTGTGACAAGTTGGAGACTGTCTTCAAGGATTTTTAAAGAGATAAATGAGCCATGATGGCACGAATGGGCAGCAGGTTTGGTGAGATGGACAAGACCAGGCCGAGAGATCAGGAGGAACCAGAGAACAAGGGGTTGATTCTCCACCAAACAGAGACAGCGGTAGCAGAAGGCTTTCCCCCCTCCAGCATGTTCATAAATGCTGATTTATCTGTTATGTCAACAAAGACATTTTCTGTGGTAAGGAGCGGCTCCTTGCCTTCTGCACGGGAGTCTTTCCGTGTCGGTCGGCCTGGCTGTTGTGGCCCTGCGGTGAGTCCGGGCTGCTGGCTGTCTCCGTGCGGCAGCCGTGGTGGTGCCGGCGCCGTGACCTGGGG